AGCTGTTTCTTGTATTCATCTCCACTCAGCTCACCTAAGTAAAAAAGTAAACTTGTATGTACACTACTATATAATAACATGAAGTAAAAATCAATAAGCAAACAAACAAGTCTTCAATGTCACAAGAAATCAGAAATCATTCAAATATGCTGATTTGGAAAATTCAAGTCAAAAAGACTTAAAAAAAAGTTACAGGTTTCTTATCTCTACTCCAAATGTCTTTAATCCATATTTACTCAATTAGCATCACTTTTTGAACAGATATCATTTTTTGCTGTTTTACAGAGCTATTTCCTCCAGTTTTGGGCTTAACAAATAGCAACTTACCTTTCCCATAAGCCAATGCTTCTGTAGCAGCAAGAGCTGTTAGAATTGTAGGGAAAAGTTCCAGGGATCTCCCACTATTCATCTCACCTAATTTGATGGCATCCACATATAGAGACGCTAACGTGGCTAATGCATGACCAGGTAGACTGTGCGTCTACGGAACAGAAGAAAACCATATTACCATATTACAGTATTAATACCAAGTTCAACCCCCTTCAAATCAGGTTTTTGGACTTGAACCATCAAAGATTCATTATCTACAAATAATAACAGTAATAATTTAGAAAACTGTTTATTACAGGTTCAGTCCTCCAGATCACCCCATGTGGGATTTGAAACTTCAACCTACTGGTTACCAGCCAAGATCTTTAATCAGTGCATTGCTATTAATTTGTGTACGGTATGGTAAGTAACTCACCTCTAACATCAGAAGCCCAATGATATCTGACGTCACTTCCGTCTGTAAGTCTCCAGATTCACACAGTGGAATACAGTGCTTGTACACAAGCAGTCTACGGTTAGCGCCATGTGAAACACTTACAGGTGAACCTAACATCACAAACATATAGTTTGATATTCAGCTCTATTTGATGAAGCAGCACAGAGTTACTAAAGATTTTTTAAATCTTAAAAGTCTAAATAAATAAAAAAATGTAATAGAACAAATTGAATAGAATGAATACAGTGTTACCTTTAAAAATGGCTTTGATCAGGACGCCCGTGTCCTTCCCTTTCACAGCACTATTGGTAAGCATGGTTGTGAGCTTTAGAAGGACACAAAAAGCACATCTGAAAGTGATCTGCATATAATTTAAAGATGCTGCCTTGCACATTACATGATGAGACTATTTGAATCAACTGCAGCCTCATTACATATCAGTAAACACATTAAACACAAACCTGATCACCAGACAGCAAAGTGAGATGCTTTTGAAGCTCATCTACACCATCACTTTCTGATAATGATAGGATCTTATCCACTGTAACCTTCATATTAGACATCTATGTACACAGACCTGTGAATGTACATCATCATTAGCACAACATAATTTCAAAGGATCTCGCAACATCCTAAAATGAGAATCTGTCATTTCTGCTTTATAGTGCTTTTTGCCCTTTTTTGGAGCTGACAGTAAAGGTCACTATATTTGTCAATGTATTTCTGAATTTCACAGTAAATGTCACTGTATTTCTGCAAACATTTATTCAGAAATGACTTTTTTGATTTCCAGGCTTAGAACAAAATGGGGTGTTTAAATTGTGAATGACAGAAATGTAATTCATATTGTCTGCTTACTATTGCTATTTGACAGCTCAGGGGTATTATAACCAATATACAAATACTAATAAATAACCATTTATAATGTGAAAAGAATGACTCAAAGAAAAGAGTCATTTATGAAGCAGCACATGCACCTTATTATATATGCATACATGTTCATTATTTACGTAATTACTAAATGTGAAATATTAAAATATATAACTTGTTAAAGTATTACAATTTACTAATATTTATTTATACTGAAACATTCAAACCAGAACAACGACAGTAGCAATAACAACTATCAGACGTTAGACACTGTCATATTGAAATATGAAAGCGTTAAGTGTGTATTCTTAATTTACAGTGCCAAACACTTGCCTGTTTAGTGAATTTTATGTAGGATTTGTTTATAAATGTTCCTTTTCAGAAGCACTATTGCTTGATGTCTCGCCTTTTGCAGTCGGTAACCCGTTAGCTTGTTTAATAACAACCGAAACTCCCGCCAGTGAGTCCAAGAAACGCTTCCAATTACGTCATGTCGCTTCTGTACATTTGATTGGCCCGTATGGGCGGGGTTTGAACCCAGTCCTTTTTATTTATTTTATATTTATTAATTTTTTTACTATTCACTGCCTATTTATTATTCCTATTATTATTTTAGTTAATTATCCAGGGTGATTATAATGTTATAACTTTTAGCCATACCTGGTCCTGGGTTAGTTTGTGGTACATGTAACTTTTCACAGCGCTTGCAAGGATACACCAATCACAGACGTTTGTGATTACAGGATCGATTTTTGTAAAATCATTTAATACTGCGACGCATTTGTGTAAAGAGCGAGTTTCTGAAATAGAAGATTAGAAGGAAATAGAAACGGTCAGAATGACCCTTTTGTCAGTCCAATGGAACTGTTTTCTGTTCCATTTTTTGCAATTCTGTCTGATGCCGCTAGAGGAAACATTTTAGAGATCCTTGGTGGCAACAGGTGAAGTCGAAACAGTTGAGCATATTTTATTACAGTGTAGAGCATATAGTAAAGAGAGACAGATGCTGGAAACAAAGATACAATCAGAAGGTGCAAATAATATGACATTAGAACTAATATTAAGAAAATTCAGAAGAATGATAAGTTATCTAATAGACACGGGAATCTTCATGAGAATATAAGGAATAATTGTATGTAATTTTATTTATTTATTTTTATAAAGCCTTTTCATTGTCACTCCACACTCCAGTTCAGTTGGTTGCGGTAATGCACCAAAAGTTGGCTTGCCCACCGCCAATAAACGCTACAAGAAGAAGAAGAACAACAACAGGTGAAGTCAAAATATTGAAGGAGTACAAACATTTCAGTAATTTACTTGGCGGCAAAGGAGTGGATGGCTACTGGATTTCCTTGACATATAGGTGAGTTGATTTTAGATGGAATGGGACTCTCCATTAGTTTACAAATTATTTTATCTGTCATCGTCTGTAGCCTATATGACACTGTTTGATAGGTTTCCTACTGTAGACTATAATGACACGTGTTGGTTTAGGAATCGGAAATATGATTATTTGTTGTTGATTGTCAGTTATGAGAGCAGTTATTATAAAACAGGATAAGTCTATTTCTACTTACTGTACAATTACACCATTATTTATTATTAAACTATTATTATTTAAAGCATTGCTTTGTGCATCTGTGACCATTGTGCATCTCTGTGCAAAACACACAGAATGTTTGAACCCTGAAAAGACCCAATTCTGTTGAACACAGCATGCTTCTGTGTACACACTTACAGTACACACTGAAAAATCTAACTTGCAAAAAGTTGTTCTAACAAAGGTTAAAAAAGTAGCAAAGTTTTTAGGAGTCAGTTTATTATTTTGTGTGAACCTAAAATGGTTAGTAAAATATGGTTAACAAAACTTACTCGAGTGTTTGTTAAAAAACGATTTTCCAAATGGAGTCATCTAAACAATTTTATGTTGCACAATGATGCCAGCCTGTATTTCAGCTTGAAAACTTAGTAAAACAATTATTGTTTTACATGTAGCTCCCAGCAGCTCCTTACATTGCTAAATGCTAACAATTTTTAGTTGCCTTGACAACAATTTTTAGTTTCAATAGACTGTCTGTTATTCATTAGAGAAACAAGAGCAGTTATCAGTCATTAGTTGAGTTAACTTAACAAATTGATTGTATTAAGTTGCCTTATTTTTTTCAAGTTAGGCCACTTTTTTTTAAACAGTGTGCATCAACAACTGTGCATTTTTCTGTGTATGCATTTTTTTCTCTGGCATACAAATAAAATAATAAAATTTTCTGCCTTTAGAACTCCTGTTTGGTTTGTTATTTTAACACAGGATCAAATCCATGTACAACATAGTCATTGCATGTTCCATGCTACACTTGTTAGGCTAACACCGAAAGTCAATAATATCTCAAATATTTCCCATAGAATACAATGTAAGATGACTGGAACAACCAGCTGATCCAGATCCTGTTTAATAACTAATGTATTCATTGATTCACTGACACGTAAATCCACGTAAATTTTCGTTCAAATCAAAGCGTAAACAACATAGAAAACGTATCCGTGTGACGCTGCTGACACAGAATAGCATACGCTGTTTACGTTCAGTGGATATTCTCCAAAATGGCACCAGGGTGACGCGGAGGAGACGAATTGTTGAATAAAGTCGTTATTTTTGTTTTCTTTGTGTACAAAAAGTATTCTCGTAGCTTCGTAAAATTACGGTTGAACCCCTAAAGTCACATGGATAATTTTACCGATCTCCTTGCTACGTTTCTGGACCTTGATCTTGGTAATTACATTGCTGTCTATGAAGGGTCAGAGAGGTCTCAGAATTCATCGAAAATATCTTAATTTGTGTTCAGAACATGAACGAAGGTCTTACGGGTTTAGAACGACATGAGGGTGAGTAATTAATGACAGAATTTTCATTTTTGGGTGAACTATCCCTTTAAGAGATGTCTGGTACTTTCAAAGAACTCTTACTATCTCATGGCCATGATAATTACTACATTAAATGCATTTCATTAAATGCATGTCATTCACTTACTGTCCATAAACAAACACTACTATAAAATCCAAAAACAGGAGCAGTAGATAATTTCAGCAAGGTGATTTGTGCACTTAAAAATGTATGTGCTTTGATGATCTTAACATTTCAAAGCAACTCAATTGCATCATACAATTTCATATTTGGTCATTTTTTTAAAGTATTTCTCTAACCCAAACAGTAGATCATGGCGCCAGGAACATGACCAAATGCTAGATATAAATAAATACATAAACACCACATACAAACAAACTATAAAAAGTTTCTTGCTGAAAGACTTAATAAACATGCATTTAGTTTTAAAATGCCTTTTTAATTGCTTTTAATTTCAAGCAAGCAAAACGGTACATATTCATCCAACGAAGAAAAAAGAAAAGCTCTATAGATAAAGTTTAAGAAATGTTAAAGCATGTGCACTTTAAATTAATTTCCAAACAAAGTTTCTCAAAGAATTCGTATTTCAGAGTCTTCGAGTGGATGACTCACTGCTGCTGCTCACGGACGTCTGAAGCTACGTTTTCTTTGGCTGTCTTCAGCGAGTGTGTGGCCCGCTCCTGCTCTATGACAGTTAGTTGTGCTGCAGGAACACTCCTCCACATGGATGTATGTGTGAGTTACTATGTGTCCGTTTACGCAACCAAGATTCACTGTGCGATTACTTGAGCGAGTGGCCTGGCAACAGCTACAAGAGGACAATCCAGGTTCAGTGTACCTACGTATGTGAGAAAGAGAGAAAAACACATGTAAAACATTTCAAATCAGTCACTTAAGAGGGTCTGTTTCATTTAGGATGCAGCTTATGTAGGTTTTCACAACAGAGTCTGCACGTACTCACCTGCTAAAGCTGGTACAGTCTCCACCACAAAATGTCAGGTCCATTCTCTTCTCTGACTGACAGTCATTGTGATTTATGTAATCGCGAATGGTCTTTACTTGACATCCCTTAATTTGGTCCACACCTTCAAACACAAGCAATTGAACGCACATAGACACATTACATCGGCTCAAATCAACCAAAATTCACATTGTTTTCTTTTAAAAAAATACTCACAAACATGGCAGCAGCCATCAGGTGACCGCTGAACGGTGCCCTGTAGAGCGAATCACAAAGGCAGAATGTCATCGATGTGATTTAATCACCATGATCAGTCAGTATAACATGTAAATGTGTGTTTGTGTGATATTTGAAGTACTGACAGGCTGGCAGTTGGAAATGTTGAAAGGAGGGCACTGGACTGTGTATTTGTCGGTGATGAACTGTCCATTGACTTTAATACACGTGATTCTGTCACAGCCCTGATTTGCAGTGTGCAAAGTCTTTCCTTCCTATGAACCAAAAGAAAACAAGGTCAAATTCATTGCAAAAATGTTAGATTTGTTAGGAGGAATGAGATTGTCAAGGAATAATGGCTTAAATTTGGGTCTGTTCCTCACTCAAATTTAAAAGACATTACTGCAGTACTAGTACTTTAAAGGGGTCATATGATGCTGCTAAAAAGAACATCATTTTGTGTATTTGGTGTAATGTAATGTGTTTATGCGGTTTAAAGTAAAAAAAACACATTATTTTCCACATACTGTACATTATTGTTTCTCCTCTATGCCCCGCCTTTTTGAAACGCGTTGATTTTTACAAAGCTCATCGGTCTGAAAAAGCGAGGTGTGCTGTGATTGGCCAGCTATCCAGTGCGTTATGATTGGCTGAATACCTCAAGGGTGTGATTCCAAAGAGAAAGGAAAAATTTAAATCGCATCATATGACCCCTTTAATAATGCTTTTCTGTCCCTGATGATGACAATCCACTTCTGTTGTATGAAAAAAAAGCAACATGAACGGTTTCATTTTGTGTTCAAAGAAAGAAAACAATATTGGTTTTAACATATGAGGGTATGTAGAGTGTATTTTGTTTTTACATTTATAATTAATTTACATTTTGAACATTTATTCCTTTAAGTTCCATTTAACCTAAATATATTCCATACCTCAAGGCGACTGAACCTTTGACATCTGACTTTACCTTCAGTATTTTATCGACGCCATTGTTATTGACGATGCAGTGAGTTTGCACACACTTTCCACAGCAGTCGTCATAGGTCGTTTTAACATATTCATAACCCTGTGAAAAATAAACATCAAATGAAGTCAATTAAATTACACTCAGTCCTGAGAAAAGCTGATCAGAAGCTTGTCACGCAACTTACAGGATCACATTTCTCATTGCACTGCACAGATCCACATTTGATATTGAACAACTGCGTTTTAGGATCCACGTCCCACGTACAGCTGCATTCCCGACAGTCAACGACGGGGATGTTGTTACCAGGCTGGGGGAAGTGATGGGAGAGATGAGCATGTAAAACTTTCATTAATTAGTACTTAAAATAAAAAAACTCAGAAATGTTTGATTTTTTAAAAAATAGTAATATTCGAGTCATTCTAGTTACCTTATATTCCATATTTTTGTGAACGCACACTTTCTTTGGCTCTGAGGAGGCAAACAACAAAACACAAAACTATACAGAATGATATTAAAGGGATACAGACACCATCTGAGATAAAAAAATCATACAAATGTCACAAAAATGAACTGATGTGTGAATAATAGCAATACCGCATTTGATTTCTGGACAGCATTTTCCATCAGGCACTTCCAGGACTGGCGTATATCCGACTGCACATTGTTTACTGCAGCATGGCTCTGAAGGATTGGTGACGTTGACCAGCACAAAGCCGGGCTCAGTGCAGATCTCAGGGTTGATATCGGGACACGTTTTGGGCTTACAGGTCACTGATTTGCTGGCCTTTTCACAGATACACTCCTCACAGTTGTACTCGAAAACCACAGCGAACTGCCGCAAAATATCAAGAGAATTTAGTTAAAAGTCTATTTCGGTAATTATTTAGCTTCGGCCATTATTTAGCATTATTCAGTTAATTCTTTAAATTCAGCATAAAATGAAAATTCACTCTATTGATTTTGTAAATTCGTGCTACAGGTTATAGTGTGAAGGAATAATCCATGTATGCAGTTCTTTTTTTTTGACCTTGTAGGCAAATATAAATAGCACTACTCATATGTGACCGTGGACCACAAAACCAGTCATAAGTGTCATGTACATCATCGTGAGATTTGAATAAAGCTGAATAAATACGCTTTCCATTGATGTATGGTTTGTTAGGATAGGACAATATTTGGCCGAGATACAACTATTTGAAAATCTGGAATCT